AACATCTCCAAACCCGACCCTCTTAATAATGGACCACACTAAAGCAGTAAGTTTGCAGATTCTAAATTCATTTGAAAACCCAAAATAATTATGAAGAGGGATGGAGAAAAAACACAAGCTGCGGCTGCATGAGGTGGAATTTTGTTCTCAAGCGAAGGAGACAATTTACAGCGTTTAATTGCCACCTCAGCCCATCTGAGGAACGGGCAGGTCGTGTATTGGAGCTTTGGTCTTGGGTCAGGTTGATAGATTTAGTTGTTTGGGCCTGATTAGGGGCCTACCAAAATAATGGGATGATGAGATGTGTAAGATAATTTTGTAGTAATTGTGACTTACGGTAAGAAGGTATAAGAAGTCACGTATTCATCAGGGTTTTACCAAAAAAAAAAAAATGGTTATGCATAAGGGGTTAGTTAAAGTTGACACCTTTGATTAGTATCTTTTGAAAGTTTACGGTCTTAATTAATAAATATAAAAGTTTATATTCATAATTAATAAAAATATAAAAGTTTGTATTCTTTCTCTTTTAAAAGTATTCTTGAGAGTCAATGAAAGGTGCACCCCCCTTCCCTCTCGATAGGTTTGATCCCGCTCCATGATCAATTGTTCAATACAAAAAAATTATTCTTGAGAGTCTTGAAAAGCCAAAAAAAGTTGATCTTTTTTTGTCACCAAGAAAAAGTTATCTATTCCTTGGTAGCAAGGATTCGAAAGTAATGTTCCTGGCAATCTCGAAAGAAAAGTCGATCTTTTTTTTATTAGCAAGAAAAAGTTATCTATTCCATGGTAGCAAGGATTCAGAATTAGTGTTCCTGGCAATCTCGAAAGAAAAGTCGATCTTTTTTTATTAGCAAGAAAAAGTTATCTATTCCATGGTAGCAAGGATTCGAAAGTAGTGTTCCTGGCAATCTTGAAAGAAAAGTTGATCCTTTTTTTATCAGCAAGAAAAAGTTATCTATTCCTTGGTCGCAAGGATTCGAAAGTAATGTTCATGGCAATCTCGAAAGAAAAGAGGCTAAGAGCATTTTATATTGGTTAAAACTCTATTTCGACCCTTTTACTTTGGCAAAATATTTTTTATCTCTCTATTTAATATTTTTTTTAGTTTTTGAGATTTATTATTTAATCCCTTTTAGTTTTTTTGTTATTTTTATAATGAAAATTTTAAAATAGAGAAAGTAAAAAAATTCTTTTTTGGTTTCTTTATTTTTAAAAAATCCTTTTTTATTTTTTTTATTTCAAAATGTCTATCAACTAACATATTACATATGTAAAAAAATAAAAGAAGAACTAAAAAGATGTCTAATAATAAATTGTGTGGGGTTAAAAAGACACTTTTTTAAGTAGAAGAATTAAAAAAAAAATCTTTTTTTATTAAAATAGAAAAATCAAAATAAGATTTTAATGATTTATGACCATTGAGTTTAATTGAATTGTTAAAGGCAAATAAAATTCACATTGAGCAAAAGTAAGACATTAATTTATTGAACGAAAGTAAAAGAAGAACAGACTTGGTTTAAAAGATAAAATACTATGATACACAACTCACTGTAAATAATATCGTCTTTCCTTAAAACTTAAGACTTGAAAAATGTTCACACAAAAACAACAAAAAACAAGAAGTCAGATTTTTCCATATTTTGAAACATACATTAGATATTGGAGGACAATAAACAAAATATATAAGCAAAACACACCACAGAGTATATGAAGGTACGGTTCGCTCACTAAATTGATTCCTTCAGGTGCATTTAGTCAACCTTGCTCACCGCTGCAAAATAAGGATTTTTCTTGAGGAATACTTCAGTAAGAATAGCCTTGGAATGTAAAGAAGCCTTTAGCAATTCCACACCCTGTTAAAAGTGTAGACAGTCAACATTACAACAAAGAACCTGCCAAATGTATCGAGAATTCTGAAAATTTTGGAGCCACACCTGGTCCATGCCCACATCAACCACATTCTCTTCAAGCACCCCTATATCTTTGATATTGAACTTGTTAATCGTGGTGGTACTAGAAATGGTAGACATTGGTCTTACCTCTAGATCATCCATGATCATATATGTCACCACACCTTTCACATAACCTTCTTCAGTTGAGCAAGAATTCTTATTTGGTGGATCACAAACATACTTTAGTTCCCTGTCCATTGATGTTCCAAGACTAGGACATTTGACACCAGGGTCGTTCGTCACGGGATTATAACAGCTAGTATTGTAGGTCCTGCTACACCCATAAAACCTCGTAGAATTTGTCATCTGAATGTTTGGCAACAATGGAGGAACAGCTGCTAATTAATGCATAAACTGTAGGCCTAAGCGGGGCATCCAAGGCCGCCTGAGAAGCCTGCTTATATGTATCACTTAAAGTCTGAACGCTCTCATAAAGCTTTCCAAGGGAACCAACCATCCCTTGTTTAGACAGAATTGTTATCACCGATCCAATAGGCAGAGACAGTAAGTTGAACAGAAAATCAACAAACTCTTTGCCAGCTTCAGCGAAGAGTACCCTGTGGCTTTTCGTGTCTACCAGAAGCTTCAAGCTCAGTTTATATAGTTTCAACGGCTGCCATGAACACAGACACTATATTTCTCTATTTCTAAGTGCCAAATGCATTATGGAAACTCTGTTAAGGCTGCCATGGACAACGTGAACATACTCCATTCCTTGCGGTAGTGTCTTGTTGTATCATTAGTGACACTTAGGATTGAAAACATGGATAAATAATTGATGTGGTCAAAAAAATTTTAAAAATTCCCTTTTTTTTTGTGTTTAATTGTTTGACATGGCATCCTTTTTCTATCAAGTAACAGTACATGTTAGTGCTTTTGAATGGAGGGATCAACTTGGAATCAAAATTAAAAATTTTAAAGACTAAAATAGGGATTTTTTTAGTTGAGAGACTAACTTGAGGACCCATATAATAGTAGAGGGACCAAGTTTTGGGTTTTACTTTTTTATTATAATATTGAGATGCACAAATATTCGTGTGGAATGTATTCAAGATACAACCTTTTTCTCCACACACATGTTGCCAGGATCTCTAAAGGGCGGTTCAATTAGTTTAAAAACTGGAGATTTTAGGTTGGAGATTTTTTATTTGAATCTTTAATTGGCTAGAAAGAGATTGGGAAAAAGAGAATGCGGAAATGAATGCCTATCTAAAGGACATATGACAGTTTATTTATGAAGGAGTAATATGAATAGAGGATTCGGTTCAGAGTTTGGTCCAGTATAAGTGTTTTGGGTGGTGGGGGACTGTTTCTGTGGTTGCTGGTTCCTGCGTAGGGATGCTTTTGTGCAGCATGTGAGTGTACAAAAAGAGACATGTCTGCTGAAATCTTGGGACTTGAAATGGTTTGCCACTGTCCGGACTACCTGGATTTCCAGGATTGAAAGGGTCCTCAACGGCGGCAATATTGATGAGTATAAAAGAGTGGACGTGTATCGGAAAAACTCAAAAAAAAAAAAAAATTTTTTACTCCTATTCTGTGATATTAAACCTAGTCCATATTGTTTAATTATTGCGTGAGTGTACTAATTGCCAGTAGATCCTACCTCAAGGGCCGAACTACAGCTAAACTTCACGGATTCTAAATTCATTTGAAAACATAAATTGAAGAAGGATATATCAAAGCGAACCCAAGCTGCGGCACTGGAGGAGGGTCCTAGATTTAAGTTTGGGCCTCATTAGAGGCCTGCCCCAAAAAAGAACCATTCTTTAATTTACGCCTCCAGAGAAGCCCAAAAAAAAAAGGATTAATGCCAAATTGACAAATTTTATTTGTCAGTAACCATTCACTTAGCCCCGATAAAGATAAAAAGCTCTAGTTTCTCTTGCGAGATTGCCAGGAAGGAAGGAACACTACTTTTGGAATCTTTGAATCCTTGCTACCAAAGGAATGCATCAA